AACCCAACTGTTGTTGTCCATACCCAATACTGGAATACAACAACCCAGCATTGTGTATCTAGAAGGTAGTGTAAACGCATTTGATTTATCCTGCTGTTTCTGTGATGTTGATTAATTACTGTATTTACTGCAGGGTCTTTTCAGAGCATTTGCTGACTCGGGATCGTCTGTAGATTATAATAACGTTTAGTGAACGCATCTGCTCATCTGTAACCACAGAAATAATTAGGAGAAAAAGCCAGAACTGCAAACACACGAGCAGAACAGCAGAGCTCAGTGTATTTCCAACGCCGCAGCATCAAAACACTATAAAGTCAGCATAAAGATGCCCATAGAACCAAACTGAGAGATATTGCTGACTCATAACACACACCCACACACACACATGCATTTTAGCCCAATTAAACACTCTCCAGACTGTGAACGCCCTCTCTCGGGGTCATTCCTGTGCGACGTCCTGCAGAAACCTGTCTGAACCTGCAGCAGAAATCAAGATGAGACTTTATATCACACATTAACTTTCTGGACATGTCAATACATGAACCAAAACACACACACACACACATTTAGCAGAGAGACTGATGTCTGGAAGTGGCCATTAGAGCGCTTTGTTTCATTAATGCTATAAGCAGCTCCAGCCCTAAGAAAACATCCACCTGTATTACGTTCACACAATACACACATTCATGCTGGAATCGTCAGAAAGCTCAGGGTTTTGTAAAGGGATGCTGCTAAAAATGATGATGAAGCCACTTAAATAATCTAGCATTTTACTTTACAAGTACTTTGATTTAACAATGTTTAGATATTTGCGCTGGAAAACAGTTTAAAGACACTGCAGCTCTCTGATTGGTGTGATTTCTGAACAGCATTGTGGGTAATGTAGTTTTTTTTACACTGATTACAATATTAAACATGATTATTTTAATGTAATAAACGTAGGGAGAGCTCACCTTATAGATTCATAACTTATTGTTAAAATCAAGGGGCGGCACGATGGTCCAGTGATTAGTACTGTCACCTCACAACAAGAAGGTCGCTGGTTTGAATTCCGGCTGGGTAAGTTGGCATTTCTGTATGGAGTTTGCATGTTCTCCCTGTGTTGGTGTAGGGGAATTGATGAACTAAATTGGCCGTAGTGTATGAGTGTGTGTGTGAATAAGTGTGTATAGGTGTTTCCCAATATTGGGTTGCGGCTGTAAGGGCATTCGCTGCGTAAAACATATGATGGAATAGTTGGTAGTTCATTCCACTGTGGCGACCTCTGAAATAGAGACTAAGCTGAAGGAAAATGAATAAATAAATGTTAAAAATCAATTACTCTATGGAGAAAGTGAATGTTTTTATTTCCGGAGCCTCTCTATAAACTCTGTGCAATTAAAAGAAAGTTTTTAGCTGTTAGTATGATGCTAGTTTTAAGGATGTCTTTAAGCTAGTGTGCTCCAAAGCAGTGAAATAATTCTCATTTAGAAGATACAAACTTTTTTTTTTACACCACCTCATACTTCATCAAATCTTCTGACCAATCAAATGCTCTCTATGACATGCTCCGCCCTCTTCTCATTTGCAGAATCATAAGAGAAGGACTGTTATTCATAAGCGGAAGCAGATAAGCAGATTTTGATTAAAGATTACCAAAACAAACAATATTTTCAGTGGATTATCTTGCTGAGATTCACTTTAAGAAGCAAAAGAAACGTCGATCTCCTTAAAGGATCTTCACACAACCTCAGAAGCCAATAAAGCGGCTGTATTTTTCAGAGTGTTCAGTGTTTTTACTGCCTGCAGTGAGTGAGCTGTGCTTTAATTATGTTAAAGGTGTTTGATGAGTCACTGACTGGCACACATTGATTCTGTGCCAGGCTGAAAGCTCGATTTACAGCACAAACGACCCCACAAATCACAATCCACAGGGTATCTGCTGTAAATGTGCTGCTGAACATCCATTGAGGTCATTACAGGATTGGGTTTCTTCTCTCTCTCCATGGGTATGACCCAGATCACAGTAGATTTAAGCGTCAAATTTCAAGATGCTTCATGTTTCAGAATTGTGATGGTATGTTCCCAGAGGGCGGAACAGTGGTTTAGTGCTGAGCCCTGTCACCTCACAGCAAGACGGTCACTGGTTCGAGTCCCGACTAGGTCTGTTGGCATTTCTGTGTGGAGTTTGCATGTTCTTCCTTGGTTGGCTGGGTTCCCATATAGCAAAATTTCTTTGGCCCAGCTCTGGCCCACACAATCAGGTTTTGCTTGGCCCACATGCCGCAGTGAATTACGGTACATGACTGGACCAAATCTGGCTTCCAGACAAGGGCCAAACACAGACCATATCTGGGCCAAGTCTCAGCCAAGTTAATAACTCATAACTGGGCCAGAACTGGGCCAGTAAGGTTGGTGTGTCACGATTGCAATAAAATTAATAAACCTATGAAGCGTTGCGCTTTAGGCACACTATGGGCCTTGTTTTTTCTCAGTGACCTGATTGGTAGAATTGATTTATTTAATCAAAATCTATTTTTATGTATTTTAAATGTGGGTCAAGACTGGCCAAACTCACGTGGCCCACAATCAATTTTTAAAATCTGGGCCAAATACTACGTTTTACATCTGGCCCAAATTTTGTGTGCCACATTATAGACGGTGTCACCTCTGCCAAACCCAGGCCATGGTTGGCCCACATGCTGTATGCCAGTGCCGGATAAATGCCTGATGTCCAAGCTTTATGCCAAATCTGGGCCAGAATTCTTTGCTACTAGGGTTTTCTCCAGGTGCTCCGGTTCCCTTACAAGTCCAAACACATGTAAATTGGATCACAGTATTGGGAAACACCCATACACACTCATTCACACACGCACTCATACACTACAATTTTGCACCTGGAAGGGCATCTGCTACATAAAACATATGCTGGAATAGTTGGTGGTTCATTCCACTGTGGCGACCCCTGATAAATAAGAGACTAAGCTGAAGGAAAATGAATAAATGATTCAAAATTAAGTGTTTTCCCAAGACAAAATAATCATATTTTAAAAAGAAAGCAAGATTATTTTGCTTGTTTTAAGGGGAAAACACACTTGATTTTGTCTAATTTCTGAAAACAAAACAGTCTAGTCTTTTTGTCTGGAAAATATTCCTGATTTTAAATTTGTTTCGATATTTGGGTTAGTAATGAAACATAAACTCCAAGTAAGAAAAGGTTTTTTTGGCAGTAAAATAATGTTTTTGTTCATTTAAAACACTACACCCGCATTACTCTTTAGTTTTATCTGAAATAAAATAGTTTTGGCATCATGTCAGGACACCACTTTATGTCCAAAATGATTTCTGCACCAATGAATCAATCATTAATTATAAATTGTAAGGTATGAAATCAAGCGACGCCACATACACACCAAAAACCAACCTTTGATCACAATGACTAAGGTAATTTTGACCCCGCAGCAACACCACGCATGAGGGAATCTCGCAGGCTCTCACACACACCCTCTGGTTTACATGTGTAACTATGATCCAGTGTTGTGGCTGACGCAGGATCTCAGGTATGAATAAACAAAGCTTCACCTGGAGTAACAGCCCAGGTCATGTGACAAACAGAAGCTGCGTCATGTTGACTCAGGAACTTCTCAGTGAAGCATTTCAATATTTTATCCGTCTGACTTTGAGTTACAAATACTGCTGTGAAGAAGCATTTGTATTTGTTATTGATGTACACTAATCAGTGACTTTTTTCATAACCCGGTCGATTGTATTCTCTAATGTTTGGGATTAAAACTCACTTTTGAATTTGCAATGAAACAAAGAACCAACAGATATTTTATTCCCAATTTATGTGATGTTCATCAGTGGCGTGCGCTGAGGTTTGTGGCTTTCAAAGGCAGATTTACAAATAAATCCACCCAATACTTGCCAACTACCAGTGGTGTTTGTATATATCATAGCAGCATTCTTTCTCCCTGCTGATTGGCTTGTTTTAGCTGGTCGACCAGGCTGGTTTTAGAGGGGTTTTGGCCACTTCCAGGCTGGTTTCCAGCCATTTCCAGCCTGGTCTTAGCTGGTCAGGCTGGGAGATGACCAGCTAAAACCAGCTTGACCAGCCTAGCCAAGCTGGGAGTCCAGCCAAAACCAGTTATGTCCAGCTTCAACCAAGCTGGTCAAGCTGGTTTTAGCTGGATTTGGCTGGTAATTTTCCAGCCTGACCAGCTAAGACCAGGCTGGAAATGACTGGAAACCAGCCTGGAAATGGCCAAAACCCCTCTAAAACCAGCCTGGTCGACCACCTCAAACCAGCCAACCAGCCTAGGCTGGTTTAAGCCGGATTTTTTAGCAGGGTATGCACATATGAAGGGTCCCTACTGAAAAAAAACTGCTTAAACCAGCCTAGGCAGGTTGGCTGGTTTTAGAGGGGTTTTTAGTCATTTCCAGTTTGTTCTTTGCTGGTCAGGCTGGAAGATGACCAGCTAAAACCAGCCTGACCAGCCAAGCCAGGCTGGGAGCCCAGCCAAAACCAGATATATCCAGTTTAAACCAGTTTAACGTGAGAAGGCTAAACACTTGTATGATTTGTTTCAAGAATATGGTTTTATTTAAGCCCTTACGGGGTTTCTGTTTGATGTCTGCATTGTATATTGTTATTTTATACATTTTCTGTTTGTTTGTTTGTTTGTTTTGTGTTCGTATGGCTTTATATTTGATTTGCTGTATATCTGACATGTCTCAGTCAGTTTATGCAAAATTATGTTTAGCCTAAATTGTTATGTTTTTGAAAGGCAAAAAAAAAACTACTGCATAGAGAAGAGCAACCACAAGAATAACCGTGAGCTCACGCGCGCCCTCTTTATTGCTGCGGAGCTACTGCCTGCCTCAATACATCTATGGCCTCATTTTATGTCTTTTTATGAAGTCAAACATCAATCCAAAATAATCTTAGGTGTAAACAATAAAAAAAGAAACGAGTGACAGATTTTTTAACATCACAAAAATCTTGAGTTTTCTGTTCGTCACCACCACAACAGACGCAAATTCAAAATGGCGGCGTTCACGCGACTCAAGTTCAAGTGTTTGTTTGTAACCGAAAGCTGTTTTTATACCAGAAAAGAAAACGAAGCGACTAAATCACGCGAAACTGACGCACATCAGACTGGAAAACACAAAGTCTACAGCATGTAAGCTAAGTTATCAGACAACACGACATAAAGTTAGCTGCAAATAATACGTTTTGCTTACACACACAACATTTGTAGCATAAATAGTTTAGCCAGTTAGCTGTTCTTGAAGTTTTTCAGATTCACAGAGCATAACTTTTAACTAAATAATTTTCATTTACATCGAAAAATAAAATGGATATTATTGTGTAAATATTGTGTTTAACTCAATAACATTATAAACAATTGTAAACACTCGGCAATTCATTCATGAGTGTGTTTACAGTTGTTTATAGGTGCTTATATTTATAGTTGTTTATGGGTATTTATTTATACAATTTATTTGTTGTTTTGAATGTAGTTTTCAAGATTGTAGTTTTGCAAAATGGATAAATAAGCAACACTTTACATTCTAACCAATAAATCATGTAATTGGAAAGTTCACAAAACTCTGTTTTATATTCAGAAAATGATGCAAGATGTGCTTATCCTCAATATAAGCATAATTATACTCTCGCAAATGCTTGAGATCTAGGCAAAGTGTTTTATTAAATGCAAAATGTGATAGCATGCTAAATAATGTGGTATACTATACTAAATTTAAACTAAACATATATAACTAAGATGTTTTATAATCTATTGCATAAAAATAGGACATTTTAGCAATGTAAGCAAATAAAAACTAAACAATACATATTACCACTATTATAGTTTTATCAACCTGTAACCATCAGGAACAATCTGGAAACAAAAAACACTTTAAGAGAGTCAAGTTTCTTATTTGCTGTGTTATTGCTTTCTAAACTTTAGCTTGATTGCATGCTTGGTCATATATCAGCGTCCATACTATAATGGTTACAGATTTTATTTAAACAAAACAAAATACACTTGCTATCTGCTTTGTTTCAGAGATGTTTTATCCTGTGCCTGAAGTGCTGAGAAGTGGTTTTGCTAATGACAGGCACACAAAGGCAAGGCAAGTTTGTTTATATGGTAAGTTTATTTATACAGCACGTTTCATACACCATGGTAATTCAAAGTGCTTCACATAAACAAGAATAAAAGAAACATAAAATACAAGTAAAATATATATATTTTTTTGTATTTGATCATTTATGTATACAGTGATAATTCAATATATTGCATAGCACCATTATAAATATACATAAAGACAAAAATCATATCTGCATGATGCCTTAAACACAGTTTTGGTTGGCCCATATGTTCAAGATTTTTAACTTAAAATTATGTCAAAGGGTTATTTTTTTCATTGTAATGTTTTGTGAGATATAGTCCTGGTTTGTGCATAATTTCTTACCTAAGGGGACAAGAATGAATCAATTAATCAACATGTTCTACAAAATATCCCATAATTTGTATCCAGAACATGATGATGATATAACGTATGCATACGATGCATCAACCGCAGCTTCAGTTGGCTGTTATGTTCAAAATTAAAATGTTCAGTATGTAATTTTTAATTATATTGTTTATACACGTGAGGCGTGTGATGTTATACAGAGCGCAACTGAACCCAATTTGAAGAAAAACCAGACTCAAGTCCTCAAAGTTCGTGCTTTCTCGTCCAACTTGTCTAGTTTAATGAATGCAAGAACTTTGTGTTCAATATTTGCGTACCTGAAATTAAGAAACGCCTCTAGTGTTGATGGATGTTGGCAGAATGTTGCTGTTTGGTTGTGTAGTGATCAACTTTGCATTTTGGTTGCCACTGTCCTTTTATGTTGCATATGTTTTAGCTCATGTATAATAACATCTTTAACTGTTTATCTGAATTTAGATGCTTTGGGGATAGGGGGAATCAATTATTTAAAAAAAATAAAAAAAATTACAAAAAAAAATTATTAATTTTTATTTTCCTTTTTACTTTACAAAATGTTTTTTTTTTACTTATTCTTTACAGACATTTTGTCAACAACATGGCTTGAGTGATCATTGAAGCATTGGAAAAATAAAAATAATTGTAATTTCAGCATTAACATTTAATTAATGCAGCGATTTGCTGCTTCTTTATGGATTTTTTGTTAATAACATGGTTTGAGCAATTATTAGAGCATTGAAAATAATAAAATAATTGGAATTTCAGCTTTAATTTTTAATTAATGTAATGATTTGCTGTTTCTTTATGGATATTTTGTCAACAACATGGCTTGAGCAATTATTGGAGCATTGGAAATAATAAAAATTATTGTAATTTCAGCTTCAATTTTTAATTAATGTAATGATTTGCTCTTTTGTTTATGGATATTTTGTCAACAACATGGTTTGAGCAATCATTGGAGCATTGGAAATAATAGATTAATCATAATTTCAGCTTTAATATTTAATTAATGTAATAGTTTGCTGTTTCTTTATGGATATTTTGTCAATAACATAGTTTGAGTAATCATTGGAGTGTTGGAAATAATAAAACAATTTTAATTCCAGCTTAAATATTTGATTAATATTAATATTTTGACTTGTTTTGTCAGCAAGCCCCACAGTTTGAGTAATCATTGGAGCGGCAGTAATGTTTGACCTGTGATTGTGCACATAACCTCTGAGTAGACGAGCGTGTCAAGAACTCACACCTGAGCTAGAGGCTTCAAAACCTCATTCGGCACTCCTGCATGAAACTCATCCATCAATCATCTAACAATCAGGTGCAATATTCAGAAATGATTCTGAAATGCTCGCAAACTCTTTATGTTAGTCGCTGCCACATAAATGACTAATAAATGTCACAAACACTTGTGTTGAGTGTGATATATGTTTGCAGTTAATGTAGAGGAACACTGCGTACTTTTGTATGTGTTTCTGGCAGCGGAGACCAACATCTACTGTTCTTCTCTGGTCATTAATTGTTCTAGAACAGAAAGTTATTGGTGATTTTAATTGGTGACACTTTAATTGATGGCCTGCTGAACTGCTCGAGATGTTTTACAGTCGGTCCAGTTATGAATGATACATCCTGGTTATGTTTGCATTCATAAATTATATTAGTATCAGTGTTTGGACTGACACAATTTCAGTGTACTAGAACTTCTGTGTTCAGCTGCTTTGACACAATCTAGATTGTAAAGCTCTATAGAAATAAAGATGAGTTGAATTGAGGTATTAACATAAACGGTTAGACATTTATTTGTGTTATGGTGGTACTTACTGCCAGCATTGTTGCCAGCAATTTTTCCCTTTACAGTCACTTACCTGTAGATGTGTTTTACGGCAGCAGGACCCTACCGCAGTTTCATTTCACAGTAAAATAGCCTTAAAGCAACTAGGCCTGTCAGGATTTGTTGTTGTACAATATATTAGGGTTTCAACGCTAAGAATTTTTTCTACTGGCCCAGCCAAAAAACAAAAACAAAAAAGTTAATAGCTATTTTTAGCCACATATTTTTAATAAGGTGTCACAAATAAAGTCTTCAAATCTAGAATTTAAATCTTTAAAAACAGGTAATAATTAGCTAAATTTAAGTGTTATGCATAGTTGGGTTTAGGGTTGGGGTGGGGGTATAGGCGTTAAATGCAATTAATGGGGTCATTTAATAGATAACATAAATAATACTCGGTGCGACTACTGTTTTTACATTACTGTGATGGTTGGGTATAGCTTTGGGGTGGGGTTTACCTTAATAAAATACAGTAAACGGGAAATGTATTAAATAATATGAATAATTCTTGTTAACTTCCAGCCATTTCCAACCGTATATGATCTAGGAACAACTTATTTTATGCCACTCATTATATAATGACAATATAATATCATCATAATGCAAGTACACTCTTCCGCAGAACACATCATATTTCATTATTAAGAATATTTAATTTAATTATAGTCATTTTAACTATTTAATAATGAGGCATTGGAATTGTGAAATTGCACATCCTAAATAAATAATAATAAATGTTAAAGGTAAAAAGTAACATAGGCATTAATATCTGCTACCAGATCTATTTTTAGACATCAGACACCCACGTGAAAATATACTATAGTCATTTATAGTAAGTATTTATGATATAGTAATTCTTTTATGGTAAAACACCCTTAAACGCATATTAAATTTACAGTCCAACAATACGTTTATAGTCATTTATTTCCTATTACACTTTACACGTTATTCAATATTTAGTAATTAATTTAATAAATTCCAAGCAAGTGGCAAATTTTTTCATTAGCTGTCTCATTTCTGTCTTTAACTACAGTAGCTGTATTTAATTACGTTGATTACTGTAGAATACCGCAAATTTCTAATGTGCAGTAAGTTACTGTAAAATACGTTTTTGCAGTAAATAACAGTACAATTCTGGCAAAGCCTACAGTGTATAAACATTAACACAATTTAATTGTATGTTTTTTTATTTGAAATAAAAAAGTAACATAGCTGATTTTTTATTACATGTTTATTTGTAATTAGGCAATCAATTGATGTATTTTTATAATTATTTTAAGTGTATTGCTCTTTAATTTAGCCCATGATGTTAAAGTATAAATGCAATTTACAGTTTTGGACAAAACACAGTCAAGAATGATATAGATAACATCAAGATGATCATATATTAATCAATGTTTTAAATATGCTGCTTGTGTTTATCCAAGCAACACTCAATTGCCAATATTAATTCAATACTAATTATTATTTCATTGCAATATTAGCGGTTAGAGTACGGACGGTTCTACACTTCTACATTATTACCAGAAATAGTGAACTATCCGGGACTGTTTGGAGTTTTTCAACATCCTAATTATACTAAGTGGACTGATTATATTTTTAAATACTATTCAAGATGGATAGTACTTGAATTGGGTTGCAGCATATGTGAAGCATTACATTGTGAAAGTTCTGCGTGTGTGTTTGTATATGAAGATGATGCTGATTTTGAGGTGTACTGTCTCTTTAAATCAGCACAAATCTCCTCCCCATTTTTTTTAGTATCTTTTGTTTATATTTCAATACATTATGAGACAAGCATTGTGAAAGTTCTGCTTGTGTTGTTTCAACATGATAATGCCGATTTTAAGGTGCACTGTCTCTTTAAATCAGCACGAGTCTCCCCGTCCAGCCACACCGCTCAGATTTCCCAGAACGAGATCCAGGCGATGATGAATCCTGATCAAGCCGTCACTTAATGTCACAGTCAGCATCTGATCAAGGCATTCATCATGTCTTTGGCCTCATTTAACTGGAAGAGAGACTCAGTTAATCCACAGCCCAGTATAATAGGCTTACGTCTGACCCAGTGTGGTACTTTTCCTACACTGGCGTAGTTAACGGGATCACGTCTTCTCCCAGATACCCTATAGGTACCTTCGCTGTTTTATTAAAAGCACAAAAGATGTTGTCTGCATTGCTGTGAGTGTAACCTTGAGAAGAGAAAAGCAGTGAGTGGAAATTTCCCAAAAGCATGGCTTAGGGTGGGACGAGCTGCGCTGTCATGTGATTCAGATGGAAATGAAACACAGCCCTTTTTTATTATCAGTGTGTTCAGCACCTGCATGTCACATTTATTAGCTGATGACGCGCATCTAGTGTTGACCTTCCTCGTCTATCTCCTGCACACAGATAAATAAATCACGGTATTTTGATAAAACTCTACAAGTAGTGACTGGAAAATACTGTTTCTGTTTTGATAGAGCCCACTGTATGCTATGCATTCTCAGATGCTCGTAAATTCCTGAGGTTTAGGGAGACACAGACTGTGTTTTGAAGAAAAGGTTAATGTCATGCAGTTGCTAGGGTGTTGTGGGTGATTGGCACTGTGTTACTGTGCAGTTAAACATAATGATGTTTTAAATAGATATTTATTGGGTTTAAAAATATTATTATTATTATTATAAATTAATATTATTATAGTTGTTTTGTTTGTTTCCCATTACTGGGTTGCAGCTGGCCGGACATCGGCTGTGTAAAACATATACTGAAGTAGTTGGTGGTTTATAACTGTGGTTACCCCTGATTTATAAGGGACTAAGCCGAAGGAAAATTCATTCATTA